TTCTGTCATTTAGTGTGCCCTTTTTGAGAGCATTCGTCTTTTCACACGCCCACGGTGGTCTCGAAAACGAGCTCGTATTTAACATTCCACATTTCCATGCAACACCATAGCTAACATAAGTCACTTTTTGCTAAATAAATAAAATTTTGGCGTGTAATATCAGACGGAGAAAAAAAAACAGACTTTTAGCATTTAATGAAACACGTTGAGTTTGCGAACGAAATGAGACGGGAAATTTGTCTGAAATTTTCCTCGGTACTCATTCAATTATCGTTTTCTCGACGATTATTAATATAACCCGTATCATTTCAATTATCCGCTTCTGTGCACGGGGAACAAAATTGCACAACACTGTTTAACGATAATGACAGATCCAGATACGCACGCACCGTCGCGATCCTTTCCGCGAACGTTTCTCCGGCGCGGTCATTTCTTCCTTTTTCTTTTTTTGTTTATATACGTTATTATGTGTGTAGTTACACATACGCAGTCGTCTTCGTCGTGTCGCTCGCAGAGGGAAAGAAAAGAAAAATGTCGAGCCACTTACTGGGCCTCGGAGATCGATCCGCAAGAATGTTAACTGTGCCGAGTAGCTCCTCTAACGCTAATATCAATTTTCCTTAAATATTATTTACCGTACACACGACAGATATCACGCGCGCGCGCAAAACATGTGTGCGCACTCTCTCTATGTGCACACACGTCAGTGTCTCTCTCGAGGATCTTCATTATTACGCGCAATTAGAAACACCGCGCGCATATTACGCGCGCCGTCGTACGGTCGTTCGCTGCCACGGGAAACGGTCATCATCGAGAGAGACGTCCCGCGAATCGAATTTTCAAAAACGAGAAATAAGGAGACGAGAGCAATTTGCCGCCGGTCGATCGTAAAAGCGCTGTGGAAAAGGACGGAAATTTTCGACTCGCGTAAAAAAAAAAAAAAAGACCAACCATGTTGTCCTGGTGCGAGACGAGGAAAAAACAACCCGAGTGTTCAATTTTCCACGCGTCCACGAAGAAGAAAAAGAATTCTCTTTCCTCGTTCAACGCGCACACATCGGCGCGGCTATTAAATGCCAAAGTCTATTTGCGCGAAAAATTTTTCGCTAACTGATATTTAGCGCGCATACCTATTTGCTTGCTATCAGGCGGATTTAATTGCAATCGCGCTGTCGACTGAATCGCGCGTGACGATGAATACAGCATTGTCTTTGCATCGCGTAGCTATTAGACTCCTCTCAAGGATGAGAGTGGCCTGTTATCTGGAAAAAAGATCTCGAATGTAATTGCAACGAGATTGTAATACCCTACTGTGCCGGCGCGTCGATACAGCAAAATGTTCATCATGTTTAGCCGGCGATTGAGCAAAGATCGAAGATTTCAAATAGACGCAAATTAATCGCCAATTAACTGAAATTACAAGATTCATTTTTCCTTTACAGAAAACAACATTATTATTGCTCCGTAAACTAATGTTTAAGAAGTGTTGTTTAACTGTTTTTTTCTTTGTTTTTCTCTGCACGTGTAAAAAGAGAAGTCTCGGGCGGTGAGTAGAAGTTTCGAGATAAATACTTCTGATTCGTATTGCCGCTTTTTCAAGTGTCGCGCAAAAAGACCCGTAATTACAAGACTCACTTAATAAATAACGTTGCATTAGGTGAGATAATGTGAATATATCGAGCCAATATCGAAGCTAAAACGAGCAAACTAATTTCCTCTCTGAAAGATGAATGATTTTACATTTTCACACATTTCCTCTTTCTTACACAACGTTTGTAAAACAAATAATTTGCAACAACCGAACTCGGTTTAATTAACACGGTGTGTCGTTTTAATTTATCTAAATACCGCGCGGAGAGTACAAAGTGATGAGCGCGAAAAATTGATAAGTGCGATTATTTATTATCACCGTCATCATTACGAACAGACAATAAACAAGAGATTGGAAAAAGAAAAATTAAAGTATTCCGTGCCATTGTCCTTTGAGGATGTTGACCCGCAGAAACGAAATAAAGTGGACTGAAGGTAATAATCGAGGACTCATTGATCCAGACAGTTTCGCGATTATTGTTCATATGGGACGTCTTTGTGTCCGTAAAGAACAAGAGAATTAGTCTTCGTCGTAAAAAGAATCACGTGGTGTCGTAAAATATTCTCGTACAAATATACCGACCATTGTTGGTCGGTATCCAACTGATACGTACGTGAATAGTGGAGAGAGAGAAGAGTATCTCTCACTCTTCTCCTCTCTCTTTCTTCCTCTTTCTCACTTTTCCCAACGGTAATTATACCGATACCGACTAATTGCTAGATAAGATGCTGCGCTCTTACTATACGTGACTGAGTCTACGGTCGGTTGCATCGCGGTTTTATCCTGGTACCGCGTTCGAATGCGATTGAGATCTCGCTTACAGTTTTCGGGATACTGCTGTAAGATATTGTTCGTTCGCAATAATATTGCTTGTGTAACTTCGCTTTGATCACGCGTCAAATTGAATATATACGTAAACGAGAGGAACGAATAACAGAGACAGAAAAAGAAAGGAATGAATATGCGATTAACGATCTGCAGTAGCAGGTAGCCAGAACAAAATGACCCGGCACCCGGCACAAGCACGAAAATAAAGTTTCTAAACTATTAATCTGTTTCTTGTTAGACCGTTTCCGTTTAACTTTGTGTAAATCGCTTGCTAGGCTCTCTCTCTCTCTCGTAAAAACAAGGTCATTTTTTTCTCAGTTCACACAAAAAGGCTCGATGATCTTTGAACGCAATATTAATTATTACAATATTAATCTTAAGAAGTCTTGCTAACACTGAAAATTCAAACACAACAGCACCGCGCGTGCGCGCTGTTAATTTCTCTTTGAACCTTGAACTGCGTAACATTTGGCAACAAGCTCATACACAAGCAAATCATAAATAGCATCAATTAGCATCGAGATAGAGAAGGAAAGAGAGAGAAGGGCATTCACATGACAGAGAAAAATAGCACCACATTTACAACTTGAAACACTGATTATAAATTTCGTTATTCTTACACATCACTTATATCGTTAATGATAAATCGTATTTATTCAATATAACGATAAGAGAGACATATTTTGTGATTATATATATTACTATTGATCTAGCTAAATCTTCGATAAAACTCAAATTAATTGCCTTACCGCAGCGGTTTTTCCTCTAACGTCGTAAATATCACACGACTTCTCGTTATTGTTGTGTACGAGAGATTGCGCTTCATACATGAACATTGCTCAATGATACGTATTAGACACGAGAAATCGCTCTTGTGGCGTAACCGATAAGTGGTGTCATTCGTTACAACGTTGTGTACACGCATTATATGGTCGTAGAGACGCCTGTATCCGAGCGATAGAAACCGAAACCGCGGGAGGGATCCGTAAAGATCCGGACATCGACCGGTGAGAGGAAATTCTCGAAAGCGACGATATTTCTCTTCTTTTGTGTGCTCCCTATCATATACTACCGACAGCGATAAGCGAGTAATTGGGCTGACGCGATATCAACGTGGGCAAATAAATTAATTATGACGTCGCGAGTCGCGGAAAAACTATGACACTTGTTTTGCTCGGCGTAGCGTGATAAGAACCGCGTATAAGTGTGGGTGGGTGTAGACGTGTGTGTGTGTGTATGAGTGCGTTAGGAACGTTACAAAATTCCAATTATGAAATACTTGCGTAATGTATCGCGTGTGTGACGGAAACAATTACGAAGCGAATAAGTTATGTAGTTCAACTCTCTTTCTCCCAAGAGAGATTTACTTTGAATTAAAATGAATTAAATGTTTATTGATTAAAAAAGAGAAAAAAACTAATGTGTGTATTTACCATCGACTTTCTACTCACTCGATATAGTTATAAAAATATTGTAATGCGAAATTTATAAAAAAAATTTACAGTTTGCGAGTAAAAAAATTATAATATTACAGTTGTAAAATATAACAACATCGCATAAAACGGCATAATATAGTAGAAAGATTCGTCAACATTTATGTGAAATCAATAACCATATTTTATATCAATTATATACATTTCACATGACGCAAGATTCTTCCAATCCAAATCATGTAACACCTATTTTTGCAATGTGTTTAGGATGTAATATAAATAATTAAATGTAGATTATTAAAACACTGCTCTTCTTGCTTCGTTTCGCAAAAAAAAAAAAACAATAATAATCTGCGCGTGGAATTCAATACGTTTTAGTTTCGATTAATTTAGTTTTGACTGTTTAATTATTTCGCATACGTACAAAAATACATACACGCATGTTAGTGTTTTTCATGCTTACGTTAAACTCTTGCATGAGTTGATAACGAGCAAAAGATAAATTACTACTAGAGATAACCCGGAGTAATTACATTTATCAAAAAGTTCTCTATGTAGAGAAATATCTCACAGACTTTAGAAATTTCTAATCGTTAAAAATATATGTGCACATATATTCATGTGTACAATACACGAAACTAAACTACGCGCGTTTAAATTCACTTTGCGCCAAAAGATGACCTCCATACGTAAACACCGATTGAACAAACAGTTCTAACCTAACCAGCAATATAGTCCTTTTCTAAATAATACAGAAAAACACAAATGTTATTGCCAGACTAACTGATAATTGAATGACGATCGACGTTATTTGTGTTGTGAATAACGAGTGTCACAATCACTCCGAGGAAATTTAATTGAAGACAAAATATATCACATCGTGTGATAAAACCTGCTTCGCAATTTCTGTTCTGAGTCGCATGAATCATGTAATAAGCTACAGCGTAGTAAATGTCAGGCCTGAAACACACACTTGAAACAAGAAGACATAATCTAATCCGCTCTTTGACATCGAGTCTGACCTACAGATACAGCGAGTTTCAAAGCTTTCAAGTATCTGAGAAATTATACACAGGTGATAAACGCGCTTTTTTTTTTCAATCGTCAATGAAGGAAGGAACAGAAAAAAGAAAGAGAAACAGACTTACCTCCAGGAAATCTGTGCGGAAAGATTCTGCCGCTTCTCGACAACAGCCACGGGTACAACGGGTAGCTCTCTCTGGGTGGTTGATGAGGATGGGGTACAGGATGCGGCGCACCGGGAGCACCGCCATGCGGATAGGGCGCGTGTGGCGGTCCGTGGGGCGACGCGCCATGATGTGCTTGCAACGCTACCGCGATGTTCGCCTGAAAGTGTGAATGTGCTGCTGCTAGATTCGCCAGAGCGAACTGCTGCTGAGCGTGATACTCGTTTTGACCTGTCTGCGCGGTGTGTCCAGGTAGCGAATAGGCGAGGTTCTTGAGTTCCGCCGCCAGAGCGACGGACGCGGCGTTAGATGGCGAGGCAAGGTAATTCGGACTGGGTCTCACCACTCCCGGAGGTGGTTGGGGATGCGTGGCGACCGGTGAGTCCCCATGCGATATTCTATGCGGCGGACTAGGACTGTTATTGGGAGAGGAACAACCGCTGTGACTGTGTACGGTGGTCCGATTGAAATCGACATGCGTCGTCACCGACAGATTGTGATGATGATGCGGATGGGGGTGTCCGTGATTGGTGATGTGATGATGATGATGACCGCCGGCGTGTGACGGCGTACGCCGAGAATTGGGATACGACTCGACGGAGGAACTGGGAGATATAGGTCGATCGGAGCCCTCGGAGTGAGCACCCGGAGATCTCGTGGTGACTCTGCGTGCTCGTGGTGACGAGGATCCTTCTACTATCTCCATCGGACTGCCATCGTCGCGCTCGATCTCCACCCGTTCGAGCCTGTCCAAACGATCAGTCTCGCGATCACCACCTTGCCTGCCACCGCCGACTATCGAATCGATGCTGAAGCCGATCTTCGGCTTAGATGGCACCGGAACGATTGGCGTCGGCGCGAGCGGCATCATCGTACGATTATCGCACGCTTCCCGGGTTGATCACCGGGGATTGTCTCGACGGGGTTCTTTAACTAGAAATATTGCGAATACGTCGGAATCGACGGGATTATATTCGCGGCGTCATCGTGACCGCCTCGGAAACGCCGTCTTTTTTGGAGCAATTTCACTCTGATCGGCAAAACTTCCGGAAGTACGTAAACTCCCGACAACACACTGATATCACAGACCAAACCCAAAGTAGGAATCACACCGAGAAGTTACTTTTCGTCTCGAATTTCGGTCTCTTGTCGAAAGAGATAGTCTCTACGAACTCTAGAGTATTTTTTTTGTCACTTCAACCGAAATCAATGAGTTTCGTCATTAATACAATATGAAATGATTGTGGGAGTAACTCTTAGACAGTCACGTGACGGACCCCGCACCAAGCATTACTACTACGGTACGTTTGTTCTCACTGATGTGCTCCTTTTGCGTGGCCTTTTTAAACTTCTTAACACGAAATGCCGTCGTTGCACTTACAGCCTCACCGACACACACTCATACATCACGTCCGACACCTTTCTCCACCGATACAATTTCAAGAAACAGGCAAGGAAAGAATGGTAAAACCGTCAGACAGAAACTACGGAGCTCTGAACGAAAGCGAAGCACCAAGCTCCGACAGATGTTACTGGCGCGAGCGCTTACTAGTGTTTGAGCAAATTACCAACTAAACGAGTCGCTCGCGTCGTGGCTCGATAGTGGGGATCGACTCACGCACACGATACTGGACACCCCACCAAGGTATTCTCTGACGATGATACTAGCGGTTAAGGTGGGGAGTCCTGAGTGATCGCAAATGGGCGTTGCCTCGATGCCGGTTTCGCACCGGGACTTAGACGTGCGCCTCCTCATGCGCCGTTTGATTGGACGGCATCGAGGCGCGATAGCATCGCCTGGCTCTGCCTCACGACTACCACTTGTGGGTACGTAGGAGCTGCAGTGGGGCGACGCATTAGTCGACGATGGGCGTTAAACTCACGTTTTTGTCGTGCGATGAAAATGAGTCGTTTAATTAATACGTCTGGCTCTCGTGCCTCCTCCTCGTCCCTCTTCCACCCCCGCGCGCGTTTCTATACCCCGTTCCCAACTCGTCTCACACACATACACACACACATACACATTCTCTCTCTTCCTCTCTCTGTCACTCTCTGTCGCCTCCCCAGAGAGAAAACAAAGGAAGATTTATTTCATTTGTGGCAAACGACACGAAATCTACTCTTTGACGGAAAAATTTCGGGAAATTGCGTAATGAACTTAAGTCATGGTAAAGTATTTTTTTTTCTTCTTTCTGAAGAGGCAGCTCCGCGTGTGTTCTAGTCATTCTTTAAATTTCTAGTCATTCTTTATTAAGGATGAATGAAGTAAAAGATGTGTCTGCGGAAAAAATGTAGTAGAACTAAGTAGTTGTGACGATACGGAGCCTTTTCATGCGTATTATGAGGGTCATTTTGAAGTCAGTTTTTTTTCTTTGCGTCTAGAAAAAGCGTGTAGAGTGCACGCGCATGTCGAACACGCACGCGCCACTTACACAAGCTTTAATGATGCTTTTTGAAACATGCTATTTCGTAGCTACTTGGAGAATAAAAATAATCGTTACACTTTTGTAGCTACTCGAAGAATAAGAATAATTTTAACACTGCGATATCTATGTCATGACACAGTAATACAAATAATGACAAAATAACAAGAAGACAGATGAGAAGAACCATTGTGAATGTAAAAATTACGTTTTTTTTTGCTCCGATAAAAATTTTTGAAAGTAACATCACACGCGAATTATAAAATAAAAATTAAACTACACAAAGAGACGAAACGTCTCTGTCTCAACACGCAATTTATTTTTGTTTCACGTACTTTATGTTACTTTGTGAGTTTCTTTCGTTTCACGCATTCGAAACACGTTTTTTTGTTTCTCAATTGAATGGAAATAAATTTAATAATGACTATAATGCAGTTACGCTCGGACAATAACAATGATACATGTCACAATGATGTATATCTCGAGAGAAAGTTTGCGGAATATATACGGCTTTTGAAACTGCGTGCAGTATGTCGCATGGTGTGACAACAAATGCTTTTGGTCATTCTTTGGAGAAAAGAACCATCCTAAATTATATAAAAAACGTCCTAAAGATATATTCTGAAAGTATAAGAAAAAATAATTACAAAGAATTTATTTCATTCATTAGTTTAATTACGAAGAAATATATATTAGAAATATATATTAGTTTTATTAGAATTTTTTGTGTTTAAACAGCAGATGGACGCGAAAGTTAATGTCGAACTATAACGTCGACGTAATGCGAGATAACCGAGCTTCAATTGAGCTACAAATGGCGAAGTATAAAAATGAGACAAAATTCTCGCACACACAAGAACACCAGATATATATAGGCGTATACGTATAGTTATATAATTGCGCTTTACGCGTAACGCGCGCGATTCGTCGCAGTTAAGACTATAGCACTCTAAAGCACTCGTTATTTGTTATCAAACGTGTATAAGCGCGGTACGTGCAAATTGCATTCCTCGGCAAATCGGTATTGACTTATCCGATATATGATTATAAAGAAACATCCGCGTGTTATAACGACGCGGCGGAGCAAAGTCTAATCAGCGACAATAAATTCCGTGCTAAATTGCTACGTCTAATCGGAGTTAGAACGAATCAATTGACGTATATCAAAAGGACGATGGATCAGAGACGGATCAGTAAACGTCGTATCGCGTGAGATTGGTACAAGTTCAATCACACACACACGCGCGCGCACGCATGCACACATGAGAGGCCCTCATCTCTTCAGGAATAATCGATTAAAATTTTAATGTTACATATGTTCTCAAATGTTATCGTGCAACGTTTACAACGCGCGGACAAAACGGCGGACGACGCCTTGAGATTGGCGTCATTATAACTTTTGCGATCGTATTAATTTAGGCATCAGAGTGCAAAGTTTTCGACGATTAGGATATTATAATACAACACACGTGTATTATGTTTCTTTATGTCGTTCGTATTCGCTAGATGTGTTTAGTCAACTGTGTTTACTTGGGCGTGTTTACTTGTAGTTATTTTTCTTGCAATTAATATTCTCAATATTTTTAAATACAAGAAGAAAACTAGGTCAGTACAAGAGCCAAAAGTGATTGGCTGCTTGAGTAAACTGATCGAAAATATACAAAAAAAAAAGTTTTTTTTTTCAATATACTATCGATTGCGTTGCTTATTTTTGTTTGTATATTTGATTGAATGTCTGAGAGCTTTATTTCTCTTATTTATTTTAAATGCCCTCGGTTTTCTCTTCTAGAATATCAAAATAAAATAATATCGTCTTATTGATAACACGTTATCTCACTTTCTGACGATGATATACGAGTTATTCCTAGCGTTTGAGTTAAAATACTAATTATAACAAAACTCTATTCTTTTTTGTACAAACACGATTATCACATGTTTCTTTAATTTTACTTGTTTTGTTGTAATGCATCAGGCAACTTTTCGTTCAGCGTGTGTAATTGACCAATTTTGTCGGTTCCTTTCTTCAAATATCTTTTCTTATCCGGCAAAAAACTTCGAAGCCAGTATTCACCTTGGAAAAACTACAATTGAATTATTGCGTCGCACGCGTCTCAAAAAAAAACACATTCTTTTCTCTCTACAGAGAACATACGTTACTATAATAATTCACATCCGGAGGGAAGAAACGTTCTGTGTATGATTTCTAATAAATATCCTGTCGGTCGCAAAAGTACACGTACAAAAGCATATACGTACCATCGCTTCTATTAGACGAGATTGCACCACAGTGAGTGCAGGGGCTTTTCTGAAATTGTTCTCAACCCCTTTTAAAATCTCGGTAGTAGTTTTCAATTTTTCCCCCTGCTGCTTCTCTCCTCGTCTCGCGTGCGCGCGCGCGCGCCACATCCAGCAGCAGCTCGGTCGCTCGATTTCTCGCCCTTTGCGAGAAGTGGCGCGTGTGTCCCGCACCACGTGTGTATGTGCACATGAAGTAAAGAGGAGGGGATTCAACATGGCGACCTGCGTACCAGCGTATACATCGTGCGACCAATACGCGACTAGCGAGCACGCCCGTTTGAGCGTCTCGTCGCTTTCTTATTTTCTTCCGAGCCCACTCCGTCTTGTTTTGTGCCTCTTCATCTCCTCTTCTTCTTCTTCTTTATATTCTTCTCTCTTAATCTCGAGATCTTTCTTTTCGTTCGCAAGATTTTCTGCCTCATCTCCTGTTAGCTTCTTTATAACCAGAAATGAAGCTATTCGCGTCTCTCGAAGGAGTCAGATACGTAGGTTTTATCGGAGTTTTGTGTGTCAGAGAAAAAATGAGCGATAAAGCGAGTGATAAAGAAGAAACGAGAGTTATCGAGTATATCGTCGAATGGATTCTCTCGTGATTTCTCATTTTCTTTCATAGAGACAAAAAAATACATTTTAGAATTATAATTTTATAGAGAAAAAAATATATGTTTTAGAATCATATAATTTATATGGCTTGTGTTTTCTTTTCGTTTGAGATATGTACACAAAACAAACCTTTTGCTTTCAGGTTTTTGGCTTTTCTAATAATACATCTCGTAAAAATAAATTGCTGTAGTGTTATTGAAGAGTCAAGAAATACTTGAAGAGTCAAGAAATACTAAGGTATAAGTGCAGGTGAGAATTTTTTTTCACAATTGCGTGTAATGTCCAGTATGTAAAGTAAGAGAAAAGTTTTCTTGCTACCCTATACACTTTGATTCTTCAATGTGGTCCCGAAAATACGTATAAGTCAAGTACGTTTCTTTACATCGGTTAACGGTTTTCTTTCACCTAACCGACCGTTGCGCAGTGAATATCCGTTTACAAGAGCAAAGAAACGTGATTATAAAAAAAAAAAATTCTATTTTTAAGGCGTCTTAAAAAAAAAATTTTTGCGGCAACCGCTCGAAAAATCCGTTGACTGTTTCGTTATCTCGCGAGCGAGTATCGTTAGTGCACCATTGTCGGGGGATGAAAGGAGTGATCTAGAAAAAAAAAGAGCTAGCAGCTACTGCACAATCGCCGATTGTGCGTGGCATTGTGCGTGGCATTGTTTGATAACCCCGAAGCAACAATGAACCCCTTTGTCCGTCTACTTTCTGATCGAAGTGTTCCACAACCGATTGAAATTGACCCCTTTATTGGCGACGCCGCGGTTTTCTCGCGTCGCGAACAAACGGGAAAATCGACTTTTTTTTAATGCAAAAAAACTTGGTTTTGTATCTGTCGGAATTGTATTACATAAGCGGATTGTCCGGATGCTGGAAGTGTCAGGAATCGGTGAAAATTTCTGTGAGAAGAGTGTTTGTTTTCTTTCCCTTCTCTACGTTGCGACCAATCGAAGACTAGCAATATACTATGCGAAAGTGCTTTATTACAGAACCGATTGTGTGTGTACGATAAAGACTCTCTATATATTCACCTGGCGAACGCGAACAGCGAGTGCGAACATTTGATTGGTCGATCGCTCGATCAATGCGATTGGTTAGTCCGCAAATTATAATAAATTAACAAACTAACCGCTTTATAACTGTTAGCACAATTTAACGATCGACGATATAAAAATCAATCATGAGAGACGTGCGCTTGTATAACTTC